GATTTTTTTTTTTTTTTTTGTCTCAGGATATCTATTAATATAGTTATTCTTTTGGGTTAGAAAGAAAGCAAGAATTATCTTCCCCATTTTAGAGATGAGGAAATGGAGGCATAGAACTCCCTCCCTCCCTCCCTTCCTTGCTTCCTTTCTGTACCAGGAATTGAACTCAGGACCTTGTACTTGCCAGGCTGAGGAGCATGGAACTTTTCTGGGCCCTGAATTGAATTGAAATAGAGTTGCTCTGAAAACACAGGCTCTCGCTTTCTGTGTGATGTTCCTGCTTTGGCCAGCTCCAAGCTCCTGGTAACTTCTGTGGGTAGAGTAGGGATGGAGCTGTGGCTGCTGCCTGGTGTCTGATGGGAGATTTTTCCAGGCAATCTGGAGACAAGTCCTCTCCACCATCCATTGCTCCATCGGTGCAGGATACCACCGATGTCAGTGAAGAGAAGGTGCAGGAAGACATGAAGGGCCTGGCCTTGCAGGGAGCAGAAGATGGGAAAGGGGAGGCCAATCAGGCAGATGGGGAAAAGTCCCTCCCAGAAACCTCAGAAGATGGCAGCGCTCAGGACCTGAGCCCAGGCCCCACTGATGGCAAATCGAAGCAAGGTATGGCTCTGGAGTCAGAGGCCTAGCCCCTCCTCCCAGCTTAGGAGACCAATGCTTCACCACACCTCTGCCTAGCAGGGTACTGGAGATCTGAGAGGGGCTGGGTGAGGGTGGTACAGCAGCCCTTTGGCTCCCTATTTCTGATACCTTCTCCATAAGTTCTGTCTCACTGGGGCCAGCATTCCCTGATACTTGGGCTGTTTCCAGCTGTATCACCCTAAAGTGATACCTTCTTCTGATGGGCAATGGGACTTTATGGCTTGGCCCCCTTCTCTGGGTCGACCTAAAGGCTCGGTGTTCCCAAGTCAGCACTGCGGTACCTGAGTGTGCATTCTGTTTCAAGCCAGAGAGTCATAGTGAGGAGGCATTTGTGGTCTCAGGAGAATGTGCTTCCTGTCTGTGCCTTGCAGAGCAAATGGATGACCTGTTACAGCAGTGCTTCCTGCAGGCCTTGAAGTGCCGAGTCAAAAAGGCTGACCTCCCGCTCCTCACAAGCACGTTCCTTGGCAGCCACATGTTCTCCTGCTGGTATGGAGGGCACTGCCAGGGCTGGCAGCCAGGGGCTGGGTCTCACTCAGGGTTGGTGCTGGAGCCAGACAGGATAATGTGGACTGACTGAGGGCTATGCTGTGGGGAGAGTGGAGGGGAAGGTTGATCTGGGAAGATTTATTCTGTTTTTGATTTGGGTTTTTTTTTCACTTACGTGTTTGGTACAGGGTCTCACTACATAGCTCGGACTTGCCAAAGCAGGCGTTTAGTTTGCTGAGCTATCTTGCCGGCCCTTATTGTTTTTTTTTTTCTAATGTTCCTTTTTTCTTGTGAGTTTGTGCTATCTTCCCTGTTTTTTTTTTTTTTTTTTTTTTTTTTTTCTTATTTCTTTCTTATTTCTGGATTTTAATAGCATCCCTTTGAGCTGGTGAAAGCTTGTGGAGGAATGGAAAGTTGCTATTTTCAAGGTTCTCCAAATGCCATCTGCTATGGTGGTCCTGGGTTGTTGCTCATGAGTCAGGCAGCATCCTGCACTGACAGTCCCTGGGCAACGTGTCCATCAGGAGACTTCTTGTGATGCTGAAGTGTTGGAGGGCCGGATGTAGTTGTATGTTGAGAAAGAGGAGATGTGAGGCTCTGGTCCCCACAGCATAAGCTCCCCAGAAGAGGCAGGGTTACCTGTGGGTAGCAGCTCCTCTTGGAGCCCAGAACCCTGGGAACGCAACCACAGCAGATTGCTGCAAAGAGTGTGCAGCTGATGTGTCATTGCACTCCTTCCATACTGTCATGGCAGGAGGCCTGTTGATTTTTTACCCTTGGATTAAACTTCTTGCTTTCTGAGATTTTTGGGTCTGTATCTTTAGAAATAGTTTTTAATCTGATGTCTTCCTGTTTGCCTGTGGGCTTCATGAAGGCACCCATATAAGTAAGACATTAGATTGTGGGGTACTAACCTGGTCATTTGTCCTGACCTTCCGGCTTATGAGTGCCTGGGGACAGGGTCCTAGTGTATTCTCTGAGACAGATGTAAACACCTGGTGTGGGTTCAAGAAGGCCTCCCTGAGAATGCTGCTGGCATTGAGTGCATGTTTTGAGAGGTGTACATTTTTTTTTAAATTTATGTGTGTGTGTGTGTGTGTGTGTGTGTGTGTGGCCAGCTCAGCCCACCAGGGGGCAGGGCTGGCTGGCATGTGGTGCTGGGGGATTGAACTGCAGTCCCTGTGCTTTGCTAAGCTTGTTCTAAGTAGGTGCTTTAGACCACTGAGCCATCTCACCAGCCCAGAGAGGTGTAAATTTTGGCAGGAGGGAAAGATAAGAACTTTCATCAAGAACCTCTACTCAAGGACTAGGAAGATGGCTCAGTGGTCTGAGCACCTGCCTGACAAGAGCAAGGACCTAGGTTCAGTTCCCGGTACTGCATGCTAAGCTGGCCTGGCCCTGCCCTGCCCTGAGTGTGCTGGCACTGAAACTGAGCGTGGTGGTACATGTCTGTAATCCTCAGTGTTGGGGAGGCTGAGACATGAGGATCACTGCAAGTTAGCTATATAGCAAGACCTTGTACCAAATAAATAAATGAAAATTAAACCCCTGGTCTAGAGTGAATGTCCAGAGTGTGAACTTGTGACTGTGGAAAGTTTTCTGGTTAAAGAGGAATCGAGGGCCGGCGAGATAGCTTAGTGGACTAAGTGCCTGCTTAGGCAAGTGCAGGGGCCAGGGTTTGGTCCCTGGCGCCACATGCCATGCTGGCCCCACCCCCGGGCCCACTCACCTGGTGACTGAGTCTGGGCATGGTGGTGCATGCCTGTAATCCCCGTGCTAGGGAGGCTGAAAACAAGAGGATCACTAGAGTCCAAGCTGCCTAGTGATATGCTGCACAAAATATATTTTTAAAAAGAGCAATATAAAACAGTATCTTAATGCAGTTGCTGATAGCCACATCTGACCAATTAAGTCTAAATTAATTAAAAGTGAATAAAACTTAAATATAGGTTCTTGAACACAGCAGGTGCATTTCAAGTGCTTAATGGCCATTGTACTCGACTTCACAGAGACTTCTATTGGATGACACTGGCTCAGAGGGTCCCATAGTCTGCATCCTCTTGGGTGCCACCCCCAGGAAGAGAGCTCTGGAATGGACATGGGGGAGGAAGGCTGAGGCCAGGTTCCTCCTCCCCATCAGGCAGGTCCCACCCTGTTGCTTTGTTGGCTTAACTTAGCATTTCCATCTGCCATCAGCCCTGAAGGACAACAGCTGGACATAAAGAAATCGAGCTATAAAAAGGTAAGCAGGTGTCATCTCTGTATCCGCACATGGAGAGCTGTGTAAGGTGGATGGACACTGGGGACACCTCTCTGTAGGCTTGGGATAGTCAGGTTTTTTGATTCTAGGTATAAGGGAAATAAAAAAACTGGGCTGAGGCAGGAGGGGGCCTCCACTCTGCTTTCCCACTTGGCCCTTCTGTATCTGATTAGAGTTCTTGCACACATCAACAATTAGTATCTGGCATCTCTTTGCCCCCTGACCTACAGGGTGGGATGGGGTGGGGTAGGGCCTGGCCCGCCCAGTCCCAGTCCCAGTTGAAGGAGGGCAAGGACTAGGGTCTGTCACCTGTGCTAGCACTTCCCAGGGCCTCAGTGTATGTGTGGAATCAATGAGGCCTCTGCCTGTTCCTCTCCCCAGCTCTCTAAGTTCCTGCAGCACATGCAACAGGAGGAGATTGTACAGGTGAAGGAGCTGAGCAGAGGAGTGGAGAGCATTGTGGCTGTGGACTGGAAGCATCCGAGGTGAGTGCAGGGGCCTGGTTTCTAGAGCTCAGCTGGTCCCTGGGCACTGGGCCTCTTGAGTGGTTACTGTGGAGACAGTGGTATAAAGTATGTTTTTTCTTCTGTTGGATTTTAGGATCACATCTTTCATCATCCCTGAGCCCTCCCTGACCTCACAGACTGTGCAGGAAGGTAGCAGGGAACAGCCGTATCACCCTCCAGATATAAAAGCCCTTTACTGTGTCCCTGCCAGCATGACCCTGCTCTTCCAACAGTCTGGCTACAAGTGAGTTTGGAGAGCAGCCCTGCTCTGCCTGTGAGGTATTATGGCTACACGTCCTTTCTCAGCCTGAATGGTGTTCCTCTGTGATTAGCAAAACCTGCCTGCTCCTAGGGCTGGGGTGATAGCTCAGCAGCATAAGCACCCGCCTGGCAAGTGCAGGGTCCTGAGTTCAATCCCCTGCCTGCTTCTATCCCTTCCTCCCAAATCAGCATTATGCCTCCTTCCCAGTTTTGCCCTCCTCAGCCAGCAAGGAGGAAGAAAACAGAGGTCAGAAGCCAAGGAGAGAGGGCTGCTGAGCAGGGAGGAGTCTGGGTATTTACGGTCTGTCTCTTGGCACAGCTGGAACAACCCCAGGCACCTTTTGTCTCCTAGGAAGGGGAGCACTCTCGAAGCCAGTGAGGTCCGAGCAAGCGTCATTGACTATGCCAAGAAAAATGACCTGGTGGATGCGAACAACAAGAAGTGAGTGGCTGAAAACAAGATCTGTCTTGTCAGGTCTATCCTTAGAGACATAGATGCACTTAGGGCAGAGGTCTGGAGATGGAGACCAGAAAATCTCAGCATCTCACACAAGGCCATTGCCTAAAGGCTAGATGTGGGCTATGGACATTTAGAGTTACTGGCCGGGGTGTTCAGATCACTCAGTGCTGTCAACCCAGCCTGTGCACTGAGCTGACAGTGCCTTAATATAGCCAGCACCAAGCTTCACAGGCAGATGTTGTTTTGGTATTATTTTCTTAATAAGGACCATGCTGCACTTCCAGGGAGGCCCATTGACTTTTTTTTTTTAACCTAAAACGACAACCTGGAGGCATGTATGGTGGTGCATGCCTATAATCCTAGCACTGTGGAGTGGCAAATTCAAGGCCAGCCTGAACTATGGTGGTCCTTCACTTATGGTGGAGGTTCCGTTCCAGATGTCCCTGTGATAAGCGAAAATCTGCAAAGTAGTGATGTTACATTTGTTTTAGTATTTATATATATTTTAAGGCTTTATAAATCCTTCCCACATTCTTATAAACCTTTCCCACACTTTTAAAAACATTTCTAGTGTTTTTAGCCATTTTCTAAACTCGTAAACCTATGTAATTTTATTTATTTATTTTTTGCAGAACCGGGGCTTGAACTCAGATCCTTGCGTTTGCCAGTCAAGCGCTTATCCTACTGAGCCGTCTCCCTGGCCCCTAACTTATGTAATTTTAGCAACATATGTATACTGTACGGTACTGAAAGATCCCATGATACAGAAAAAATCTGCAATAGTTTATCTTAATTTTTTTTTTTTTTAATGTGTTTGGTATAGGGTCTCACTACACAGCTCAGATGCATAGTGATCCTCCTGTTTTCAGCCTCCCCAGTGCTGGGATTATAGGTGTATGCCATCGCACCTGACTCGGTTGCTGGCTCAGCGCTCCTGGGGACGGGGCCAGCGTGGCATGGGGTGCTGGGGGTCAAACCCCAGCCCCTGCACTTACCTAAATAGGTGCTTAGTTTGCTGAACTATCTCGCTGGCCCTTAGCTTAATACTTTTTATGTATACACTTTTTTTTTTTTTTTTTTTTGTGGAACCGGGAATTGAACTCAGGCCCTTGCGCTTGCCAGGGAAGCGCTTATTCCACTGAGCCATCTCCCCGGCCCCTAGCTTAATATTTTTTGAAAGCCCATGAAAGAGTAGATCTGTGAAAGTGGAACTGTGAAATATCCAAGGACTACTGTATATCGCAAGACTCTATCTCAAGGAAGCAACAAAAAAGACATTGTCATGATCTAAAAGTTGAGTCCTTCCGGTCCAGTTTAACTTTTTTTTTTTGGTGGAACTGGGGATCGAACTCAGGTCCTTGAGCTTGCCAGGGAAGCGCTTATTCCACTGAGCCATCTCCCCGGCCCCTAGCTTAATATTTTTTGAAAGCCCATGAAAGAGTAGATCTGTGAAAGTGGAACTGTGAAATATCCAAGGACTACTGTATATCGCAAGACTCTATCTCAAGGAAGCAACAAAAAAGACATTGTCATGATCTAAAAGTTGAGTCCTTCCGGTCCAGTTTAACTTTTTTTTTTTGGTGGAACTGGGGATCGAACTCAGGTCCTTGAGCTTGCCAGGGAAGCGCTTATTCCACTGAGCTATCTCCCTGGCCCTCATTTGCTTTTGGTTATTTGTTTGTCTGTTGTAAGACAGAGTCTTGCTATGTAGTACAGGCTGGTCTTGAATTAGCTTTTATAGCCCAGACCAACCTCAAACTCATGGGAGTCCTCCTGCCTTAGCCACCCCAGTGCTGGGATCACAGGTTTGTGCCACACTCCAACCTCATCCTCATTTGTTTTATATTTAAACTTACTTTGTAGTGCTGAGGGTAGAACTCAGTAGGGCTTCACATGTACTAGGCAAGTTCTTTACCACTGAGCTACACCCTAGCCCTAAATTATTATTTTTCACTCTACAAATTCATGGGATACTGTGCAGCAGTCCCATGCACGTATGCTGTATGCTAATCAGAGTGGAGCAGTTCCCGTGTATATCCCCACTTCCTTGCCAGTTTACTAAGAAGATAAGCCCAGGGCGTTGCATTGCATGCTTTGTAGCAGAGCTGAGGCACTAATGCTGGTCTTCAGATTTGTCCCATCCCACACGTCCCCCGCCTGCTTCCCCACCTAGTAAAGTGGGCTTACACCTCCCACTGATGGCTACAGTCCTGAAACACTCTGTCCTCATAACTGAGGCCAGTCCTGAACAACTATGAAGCAGACATAAAAGATGAATCCTGAGTCACCTGGTGGGCAGAAGGGTCCAGACTTGGGTTTCTTTATTGCCTCTTCTTTCCCTTCAGTCTAGTGAAATTGGATCCCATCCTATGTGACTGTATCCTAGAGAAAAATGAACAGCACACAGTCATGAAGCTTCCGTGGGACAGGCTCTTGAGCAGGTGACAGGAATTGGCGATCTTTCTCCAACTTTTGTGCCCTCTCCTTAAGATCTATCACCTTAAACTTCAAGATCATCACTATAATGGTCTGTGACTTTCTTGCCATAGTGGATAATGTTTTATTCTGCAAGTACATGGGCTTGAGTAAGTCTGAAATGAAGTTCCTTGGGACAGTTTGAGGCAAAATGACATAGGAGGACTTGAGAGGAAGGAAGAAAAGAATCATTAATAAAAAATTACTTCAACAAGAGAAGCAAAAAGGGATAGGGAAAATTATCTTAATGTCTTCAAAGGAAAGATTCTTAATGCCACTATTTCACAGAACCAGAACTGAAAATATATCAGAAGTCAGAAAACTGTAGGTCTTGGGCCAAATCCGGCCTGTCACCTATTTCAGTAAAGAAAAAGGTCTGTTGGAACACATCCATCCCTATTTATGCATTGTCTGTGAGTGCCTTGTCCTGAAATGGCAGAATTGAGTAGTTGTTACCATCTGACAGCTTTAGGCCAATCAGACCTAAAATATTTACTGTCTGGCTCTTCATAGAAAAAGTCTGTCCATCCTTATATATAGGATGCCTGAAGAAAATCTGGTCAGATAACAGGTGCAAATTCCTTATGTTCTGATATTATATAACAAAACATCCTTTAGGGTGTTATGTTATGTATTAATTGAAACATGCTAGCAATGTGAAGGCAAGAAAGCAAAAAGCCAGAAAGGCAAAAGCCCAGAAAGGTCTGTTGTTGAGATGGGTCGGACTCCCACAAAGCAGCCTGTGAGTCTTGGAAGGCCAGGCCAGTGGGCAGTTCCTGGGGCCAAGTCCCTGAGGCAGTGGATTTCAGCCTTCGCTGTACTTGGGGAGCTTTTGTGACATCTCCACAGCGACGCTGGTGCAGTGGGGACCTGGAAGAGTCTTGCGCACAGCCCGGTTTCAGACCAGGGCCCTACAAAGTCAGCTTCCATCCAGTGCCTGCCGGCAGGTGGCTCCCCTGGTCTTTTATTTCTTTTTAATCACAACTCTCTTTTCAGATGTCTTGAAAAACTGCAGCCTGCCCATCAAGTGACCTTTGCTGGACAGGAGCCCATTGTGAAGAAAGGGAAAATTTGTCCCATTGACATCACCTTAGGACAGAGGGCTTATAATAAAAAGGTAATTTTAAAAAGACGCTAAGTTCTGGTCTCCGTCCTATTACTGGAAGTTTGTAGGCTGGCTTCCAACACTGCAGAGTTGTTTATGAAACACGCTTGTGTGCCTGGCTGGGCCCTGTGTCAGACAGGTGGAGCTGAATCCCCTTCCTCAAGCTAGAGGGTAATGCCTGGAAGCCTGCTAATGCCTGTTTATAAAAGTAAAGATTTTATTGTTTTCCTCAGTAAAACATGTTAAGCGTCAGCTCTTACACGTTCTGTTACCTCTTGGGTCTTGCTCAGTGTTTTCACTTGTAGGAAGTAGCTGAAGGAATCACATTTGTTTAGCAAGGCAGCACAGAGCTGTGGGCAGCTAATTCCATCTGACCTCAGACATGTGGAGAGCTGTCTTCTGCAAGAGAAGCATTCTTGGGAGGCCGAGAAGATGCATCAGGGTCACTGGGAGAAATCCCAAGAAGACAGGCGTGGACTGCACATAGAGAGCTCGCTAGTGGTGTGCAGTTAGGAGCATGGGCTCGGGACTCAGACCCAGGCTTGATGCAGCGTTTGCCTGGATGGAGGTGCAGGAGAAGCAAGGGTGGCTGTGAGCTGGTAACTGTTGAAGCTGTCCATGGAGGTGCATTCTACTATTTTGCTTTTACTTACGTTTTATAGTCTTCATGATTAAAAAAAGAAAGCTTAACAAATTATGTGTGTGTGACATAGAGAATAACATATATTAGATGGGATAGAGAACCGTTTTATTTATTTTTGTATTTTAGGGAAGGGTCTACAGGGTGTTCAGGGTCTTACTACTAGATCGGACTCGTAGTGATCTGCCTGTTTACAGCCTCCCAAGACCTGAGATTACCAGCGCATGCCACCACACCCAGTCTGATTTGCCATCTCAGTACCCCCCCCAGCGGGGGGCGTGGCTGGCACGGCTGGTCCAGGGATCCAACCCCTGGCCTCTGTGCCTGCTTGCAGGTGCTTTAATCTGAGCTATTTGGCCGGCACCTAGAGAATCATTTTAGAAGTATAAAATAATCTGTCTGGATAGAAAATGCCATTGAGCTGATGAACCATAAGGAAGAGCGGAGACTGGGGTGCTCAGAAAGGCCCGCTGCAAGGGAGGGCACGTGTTTTGTACTCACTGTCTGTCCACTATCCTTTTGTTCCTCAGGTGACTGTGGTCAGAAACTTAGAGGCCTACGGTCTAGATCCATTTTCAGTGGCCACCATCCTCCAGCAGCGATGCCAGGCCAGCACCACTGTCACTCCTGTCTCTCAAGCCAAGGACAGTCTGCAGGTGCAGATTCAGGGCAACCAGATCCACCACCTGGGCCAGCTGCTGCTTGGTAAGCACCCCTCTCAAGAGCAGAGGCGTTGGGCCACGTTGCAGATTTCCTGCTGCCTGACCTTGATCAGGTTGTTGTGACATGCGTGTACACATTCACAGACATCCCTGACTTACAGTGCTTCAAGCAGTGTGAAAGTACTGCACAGTTAACAGAGCCTATACTCTTGAGTTTTGAAGGATTTTTGGGTTTTTTTTTCTTTTTTTGGCTGGCTCAGACTGCCTTAAGGGTGGATCTGGTGAGGCTTATGGAGCTGGGGATTGCACCTCAGTGCCCTGCACCTGAGTGCCCAAGAAGGCACTTTAAACAACTGAGCTAACTAGCAAGCCCCCCTCTGAGTTTTGAATTTTGATCTTTTCCTAGGTTAGCAGTATGCTTATGTTGGGCAGGCACAGCCTCTAGTCAGCTCTGAGGGTAAACAGCTGACCCTGTGATACATGCTTCCGCTCCTGCGCTGTGATGTGCAGGGGGTCAGTGCATTACCTGCGCTGTCAGCTTGTAATAGTTCAGCTTATGAGGGCTTATCAGGACATAACCCCATCAGACATCAGGAAGCATCTGCATATGGGGGCATGTGCGTGCACACGCACACACGCGCACACGCTCTCTCACACACACGCACCCATGTAGTTTTTAGCAGCTAACAGATGGAGTCAGAGTTTGAACCAGGTCCAGTGGCCCCTCGTGAGCTCACTGCTGTCTCCAGCACATACACTATTACTGTTCTCCCTGTTCCTCTGGTTTTGTAAGACATTTACTGGGCACCCAAATGGTGCAAGCCCCTGTTTGAGCTTTTGGCAGATAGCTCCATAGTCAAAATGAAGCTGCAGAACTATTACCTGTTCTGCAGATGAGGAAACCGCAGTGTAGAGCAGCTCAGTACTTTGTCCTGAGCTGTTCTGTGGGGGCTATGGAGGTAGTGATGGGGCTTGAACCCAGGACCTTTGCATTGAGCCCTGCCCCACCCCTTTTGTTTCTATTGTTTGTTTTGGGATACAGGCTTTCTGAGGTACTGAGTTGCCCAGCCTGGTTGTGTGAGTTTGCAGACCTCCTGCCTCAGCCTCCTAGATGCTGGCAGACTGGCCTGCTGCACCACAACCTCTCCTGCCTCAAGTACTGCTCCTGGGCTTGGCACTTTTTTTTTTTTTTTTTTATCATGCAGAGTCTCCATTCCTTCTGCTCACCCTGGTGACCCAGCCTCATTTGTCAAATTTCTTAAACAAATGCAGTCGTGTCACTCCCCTTCAGAAACTTTGTGCCCCTTCCTTGCTTTTGGAGCAAACTCCTCAGCTCCTTATGCGCACTCTCCCACCTGAGTCGTCTCCTGGAGGCCTGGTGCAGCTCTCACACCCTTCCCAGCCTGCTATCCTCTGTCTTTCCTGATACACCAGGTCCATGCCTTGCCCACCAGATGAAGTGCCTCGAAGCAGAGGCCTTGCCTTTTTTGTGCTTTTCCCATCCTCAGGGCCCAACACATTGTAAATGAGCACTAAAGTTGTGGCCTGAGGCAGTGCCTCCCAGCCAAGCCCTGTAAGTAAAGGCTGCGCATGATGCTGAGAAGCACAAAACAGAAGAGCACATATGAGTTCAATCCCCAGTTCCACATAATTCATCTCTGTCTCTCTCTCCCTCTTTGGCCCCCCAAATTCTAAATGCCTCCTCCCTGTCCACCAAGCAGGCAGCTAACTGGCTGAGGTGTGGAAGTTCTCTGTCCCAGAGGGCATCCCTGAGGCCGTGAGCCTCAGTGGGCCCAATTAGAGCAGTGCCTTGACGGCGGGGATGCCGTGGGCCTGGAGGGTCTGCACGTTAGCTGGGCCCCAGGTTGGCACAGAGTGCTGCGGAGAGGTGGGCGGGGTGGGGCAGGGGAGAGCCAGAGCTCACCCAGCACTGTCTGCTTTTTGCGTTGTAGAAGAGTACAGGCTTCCGCGAAGATACATCCAAGGCCTGGAAAAGGCGCCCAAGCCTGGCAAGAAGTGACCGACTCGTTTTAGGTGGTGGATTCCCCGGAAATCCAGATTCTGGGTTGGTAATTTATGAGCATTTTCAGCTTTTGCAAATTAAAAATATAATTCTTTACCAAAAATTTTTATTGTAATCTAAATTGGACTCCCCTCTTCTTTCCACCACTTTGCAAAAATAGTGTGCTGACCTTTAAAGTCAGCAGCGTTTTCAGTTGACAGAAGAGGCTGCGCCCAGTGCCTTTTCATCTGCCAGGTTTCCATAGTTCAGTTCCTCCCACTTCCGCTGCAAGGCAGGCTGCACGTTCTGGTGGGCGGGCTTCCTGCTTGGAAAGCCCCTCTACCAGTTGTTACGTTGCCTCTTCCATTCCTACTACCTGCTTAACCTACCCCCAAAATAGTCCTTTCATACCCCTCATAGAGAAGACAGAGCCTGATGCTCTGCGCTGTCAGGCAAGGCCACAGAGGAATGAACTAAATTGCAGCAGAATGTAGGCTGCATGGATGTAAACAGCAGAAGCACAGCGGTGCATGAGTCTGTGTGACGGCTCCCTAACTTGAGCGTGCCGCCAATGGCAGGTGACTTTGTGATGCAGTCCTGAGGTGATGACCTTGTGGTGAAGTCTTAGCTGACAAATGTCTTCTTTCATCCAACTTTTTAACCTGGAATTCATGGAGGAGATATTCAGAGGGCCCATGCACTAACATCCTGAAATGCTGCACAAGGAATCCCATGGTCACCTTTTTAAGAGAAATGTTCTTCTGTCAAAGTCCTCAGCACTCACTGGATGCCAGGTATCCAGCAGCATTGCTGTCGGTGCTTGGCAGTTGGCAGTCATTTCTGCAGCAGTTCACTCCTTGTCCAGCAGGAGGAGAAGCTGAGCCAAGTCCCTCCAAGGTCTGGATTTTACCATCTAGAAAGTTACACTTCATTGTGCTCCCATTTTCCTTTCTTGCATCACTTTTCAAAAAAAATGACATAAAGCCTTGAAAATAGCCCCACATTGTCCGTTGGAAGCTTGGGCAGGAAGAACGGGAGTAAGCATCGGGTGTGTGGGGCCTGCTGCCTCTTGCCCTCAGCCCAGAATAGGCCTTTTCACTGGTAAGTAAGCCATTACCATCGCTCCTGGCAGGAGCCTGTGAAGCCAGGAAATGATTTCTAGAAATTGGCCCCAGACATGACCCTGCTGCAGCAGAGCCTCTGGACAGCCAGTCTGCTGGAGGGAGTTGTGTGTGTAAGAGTAACAGGTGGCTGAAAATGCCTGCCAGTGACTTGTAGTGCTGTACAAAGTTCCTTCACAGTCTTGGAAGGTCTGGAGGCTCAGAGAGGTGGCATTTTTTTCTTGTTAATCCCTGCTAGAGAAACAAGGCCAGGAGTGGGGGGCTAGGTCCCATAAGAGTAAAGGAGCATCCACTCTTAGCTGTGTTCAGCCCAGAGCTGTGCTGTGACTGAGTGCTGTTGAGACCTCTGCTGAGTGGCTTTTCCAGGAATGGTGACACCTTTGGACTAAGTCACCCTCCCTTTTGCCCTTGCAAGTAGCATGGAGATGGGAAGGGGGCTGTGTGCAGCTGGACTATGTGGTGGGTTTCTTTCTACATGCTAAGCCTCATCATCTATATTGAGGTCAAACTGGTGTAAACGTGTGCTCTAGCAAAACGAGTTTCAGTGTAAAGCAGAAGCCACTTCATTTCTGTGCTTTGGCAAAGTCATTGAAAGACAATGTCCTTTTGGAAGTCTAGGCCACTGCTGGTGGCACATGTGCATGGTGATTGGCTGCTGTTAGGGCTGCCTGGCAGATGGGAGGGAAGGAGGGAGACTGGACTGGGTGAGCTCTGGAGAGTGTGATGCACGGTCAGCACGAGAACACACCAAGATTTGCCCCTCAGTAACTTGCATGGTTGGTTATGGACATGTCCCTTTGCTGGATTCCTTTGGTCATCTAATTGATTCCTCCTCCAAATGTAATGGGCTTATGTTTCCGAGGACACATTCTTCCTATCTTATTTTTAAATCCAGAAGTAGCACTGTTGCTTACCTCAGGGGGCTGTCCTGATGCTCAGCCATCGTCAGCTCCACAGAGCCCCCCTCTTCTGGCTCAGTACTGCTTCTATCAGAAGTCCACTTTACTCTGCCACCCCAGGGGTCACCGGGGCAGCACCCCCTGGTCCACATGCTTGGATGACTTTCTCTCGAGCCTTTGAACAGTAGCCCCATTCCTCTGCTCACTGGCTCTGAGGAAGTGTGTGACTATCACTATTCTCCCTAGTACCCCAGTCACATGATGGTAAAGTTCAAGGAAGACATTTCAGTTGTGAATCATTTTACAAGCTTTTATTTCTTTTTTTAAAACCCAAAGAAGAAAGACATTTGAAAAGAAAATAGTCATAACACTAACATACACTGAGCAACACAACTGTGGAAGGCACTACCAGCAGTTACACCCACCTCCAGGAGGAATGGAAGCTCTATACACTTTCCAGAGGGCGCAAACCTCAGCATAGGCCCTGGGGTTAACTGTGCGTGAAAGTCTGAGTTTTCCCATAATTTTCTTCTTTCATAAAGAACCATTATTTCCTATATAGTTATATGCCTTTCTGTATATATGTACATGATTTGCTTTCCTTCTCAAAAATAAAATAGCTATCCCGTTGAGGAAGGTTCTGAGCAGCATTCGAGGTGGTTGCAGCAGGAGCCTTCACATAGAGACATGCAGGGCTGAGGAAGGACTCTCCACTTGCTCCCTTTACTATATGGCAGGGAGAGAGACTTTTTAAGGGAGGGAAATGACAAGGCTGAGCATGAGATGGCAGGTACCAGGGTTTTAGTGACTTTAAAAAATCAGAGTTGCTAGCTCAGGTGGCTCTGAAGCTCTGAAGGTGAAGCACAATTTGTATAAGAAGGGTCAGCATTCCTCTGGGATCAGGGCCTTGTGGACTCGGACTTAGAGAGGGGAGGTCTGAGGCTACATGGAGGAGTGTGGGCTCCAGCCAGCCCATGAGGGGCTTGGGAAGGCAGAGGGCATCAAAGAAATGGTCACTCAGAAGCCGGATTGGAGTGACAGTCCTCCCTCTGCATTGGAGTATCTGCAGTCCTGGCGACTTGCTGATATTATCTGGGTAACTTTTTTTTTAGTTCAGACATACACAAGGAGCCATTTCCAGTGTTCAGCCAGGAAGCTGGTCCTCCCTGTCAGTGTGATATGATACTGCCTCTTAGAGTCAAAGCCCAGTACCTAGATGGGAAAGTATGTGACCCTCGTCCCCCGTGGTGTGGAGGCGCTCAACTGTATCTCCCACACCACCACTGCCCACTTCCCACAAGGAGCAAGCCAGCAGCAGAGCTTTGAGCAAACACATCCTACTCCTATCTCTCTCTGAAAACAAAAAGGCACTGAGGTCAATGGGGCGGCCAGACCCACAAGTTCCCTAAGCATAGGGCCGTGGGCTGGCCGAGCTTCACAACAGAAAGGACTCCGATTTGGCTGAGTTGGAGGACCCCTCTGTAATCAAGGCCACTCCTTGGGCAGCACCTGGAAATCCTGTAGTCCTAGCAGGCAGAGGGACGCAGTGCTGGAGGCTAAGGAGGACACCAAGGCAGCCAGGCCCTCCTCTGTGCTCTAGCTCGGGGATGGCTGAGGACAGCGTGGACATTCCTCTGCAGCACTTTTTGGCTTTCTCTTACTGTCTGGTTTTCTGACTCAGCGGGAGACTTAAAATGGCAAATGACTGGTTCCCTTTGGCAGAACATGAGGATGATGATAAGATCAGCCCCAGATCTGTAACTTCAAATAGCTGTTCAGCACTCTGGGAGGCCAAGGCAGGACCTTGTTTCTAGTCCAGGCTGGGGAGCTTAGTTACGTTAGTAAGACACTGTCTCAAAACAAAACAACAAAAAAGGGCTAGGGATATAGCTCAGTGCAAAAGTGTGGGTTCTATCCCCAGTACTACAAAAAGCAAACAAAACTAGCTATTGACAAACACTTGCAGACACATGCCTCTGGGTTCACACGTTCTCTGTCTCAGGCGATTGGGGGGTGGGGTGCAGCTTCTCTGCAGACTCGGACCTCTGGTGCCCTGAACAGGCTCAGTGACTGGTTACTACCGGGAAGCTCACAGCATGAGATGGCAGGGCCATCCTTATGAGCATTCCCCCGCCTTCAGGGCCTGAGCTCAGACCTGCTGCAGAGTGAATAAATAAAGGTATTGCAAGGGGCAAATGAAAGAGACAGGGAAGAGGGGTCAAAGAAAGAACACATCTCTAAAACCTTTTTTCTTTCCTTCTGCTGGCTGGTGCCATAGGTTCCAGTTTGGTGACCAGAGAGGCAGCTTATTTTTGGTTTGGAAAAGGCTTGCAGACTGAGCGAGGGCAACACTGTTGGCTCCACACGGGTTCTGATCCATCCTTGGCAGAGTCTGTCGAGGGGCAAGGAGCCGGTGGTGGGGGCAGGAATTGACCCCTGCCCAAACCCTTGTCCATGGCAGGGGCTTTGTGCCATATCTGGAGTCACTCGGCAGACACAAAGGCCCCCACCAGAGATGTCCTGAGAAAAAGTGTCTTCCAAAATAATAATAATAAAAATAAATTCAAGGGAACTGGGAAGAGGAAGCAAGACCAGTTAGCCAGGTTTACCCTGGGATTCTCTCAAGGCTTCCTGCAGCTTCTGTCTGAACTTGTTGTACTTCTTCTGCACCTGTTGGATTTTGTCCTGCTCTTCTTTTTCCAGGATTGTGAGGAAGTTCTGGAGCTCAGGGATGGAGAAGGCATCCCACTGCATGAGGGGCAGGGGAAACAGAGGGACAGGTTAGAAGTGGCCTGACCTAAGGCCTGCAACCGCCTTCTTCACAATTCTGCGCGAGGTCCTGGGCACAGTTTGCTGCCTTGTGTCCGGCACTGTGTGGAAAGCTTGGGTTGTACATATCTGTCACCCCAGCAATAGAAGGGCAGGTTCTGGCAGCTCATGACCAAGAGTTTCTGGTCCATGAGCTGTATTTTCATTTTGAGAATTACTAGAGATCTTGGAAGACCCTCCGGAGGTAGGTGGAGGATGGCAGGGGGCAGTCTCCAGCTGCATGACCCAGAGCGCCCTGTCTACCGCCTTGGCCCATTTTATCCTCCACCTGAGAATAGGGACCATCCATGGTGCATGCAGAGCAGATGGGACAGTGCTCCGAGGAGAGGCCAGCCCGGAGCAGAGGGACTGGGGCTCTCGGGGTGGAAGGCAAGTCCCACTTCTCTCCAGCTGACCAAGGCAAGGGCCTGCATGGGCCCAAGTGTGGGAACTCCTAGGCTCTTGGGGCACAGAGGGAAGCCCTGACTTACCTGGTTCAGTTCCCACACTATTAAGTGAGGAGCCTGCAGTCCCCAGGGGGAAGGAGGTATAACCTCAGTCAGGGAGCTGGTGGTAGGGGCGTGGGCCCCCAGGTTGTTTTCCCCAGGGCCAGCAGTCTCCCAGCAAACTCATCTGTCCATTCCGACAGATAAAGGAGATGGGCATGGAGTGCCCTGGTTGCAGTGGGGACAGAGTTTACCTGCCCAGATCCTGCACAGCCCCAGGGACCTCAAAGACATACCCCAGGATCCCCCTGAACAGTGTCCACACACTGACCCCCCCTTTGCACTCACTGCTGTCCCGGGGACCCTACCTCCCAATCATCCAGGCTGTGGGCAGCTCTAGCCTGGTTTCACCCATTTATGCCACAGACAGGATGTTGTTCACCCCCACCCCGACCCCGGGAGGAAGTCAGTGTGTTAACAGGAGAGTCGGTGGCTCAAAAACATCAGCACCCAATGGAACCCATTGGAGCTTGCTGGGCCTCAGCCATCCTGGGGAAAATGCCTGGGCTCGAACCCACCAAGTTTCTAGGCCCTCTCTCCTGAGTTTCCAGAAACAAGGCAGAAGAAATCCTCTTTCCATGGGCCTTGCCAGACAGGCCCTGACCTGCTAGTCCTGGGGGCTGATGATCCTGGCTCAAACTTGGAGCCTTCCCAGCGCACACTCCCAGCAGGCACCTTCCCTCTGCTGCTGCACAGCCCCAGCCCCACCCCTGCTGATGCCGACCACCTGCCAACCACCTTTCCAAGCACCATGTCCTGAGGGCTAGGCTTGTGCAGAGGGTCCAGACTCACCTCCACCTCTCCAGTGTCATTCTCCTTAAGCACGAAGCTAAGGACTTCTGTGTCAGGCCCCGCAAGCAGGCGTAGGTAGAGGGGACAGTCGGCCACAGACAACTTCTGGAAGAGCACTACAAGCAGAGAGGAGAATGGCTGCTCACACTGGCAGAGAAGGGCAGGCCCAGATGGGTGGCACAGACTAGAAACCCAGAGGTGGGGCCTTCTAACTGGAAGGAGACATGAAATGCATCTGGCAAGAAGAGGTAGGGCCAGCCTCTGGCTCAGTGAGTGGCAAAGGGTTTGTGTACCATAACGAGGCCCTGGGTGCCACCTCCAGCAGACCCTTTATCTTGGGTGGCTGCTCAGAGTTTAAACTTTCCATTCATCTCCCAGAAGATTAGGAGTGCTGGGCAGTTTCCCTCTCCTTACACAGATTAGCAAACAGGAGCCTGGGGTGTGGTTTTCCTGCCTAAGAAGTTAGGAGCAGAGCACGCAGGCATGAGCTGCCGAGCCTAGCCTAGCTGAGATTGGCTCTTGCACAGATCTGAGCATCTGTGGCTGGCTGGATCCAGGTGCACAGAGACCCCTCCCTCCCTGCAGGGTGGCTGGGGATTTAGTGGCCGGCACAGACTCTAGGGAGGTGGTTCCCGGTCGGGAGAGCTGTCATACCTTGTCCGTCCTTGTGTACCCGCTTAAAAAGTGCGAACTTCTGGGGATTGTCCACAACCATGAACTTCTTGAGCAGCCCCTGGATGACCTCACTGACTGTGGTGGTGCTGCTGATGTGGAGCTGCTTGATGGCATCCAGTGGCAGGTAGAAGGACGTCCTCTTGTCTGTGGTGGCTGCCAGGTTCACTTCTTTGATGGCATCATAGATGGACTGAGGCCGGATCCCAGCAGGCACTGTCACTGGCCGCCGAAGCTTCAAATGCACTTTGATGAAACCCGTGTAGGTACCATCTTCGCTCTGCAAGGGGGAGGAAGTCACTGTGTTAGGGTTCAGGGAGGTGTACAGGTGTGATCATGTCAGGTCCATGCTAACAGCCACCCCAGGAAACCCCACCTGTCTCCCAAGATCCTTCCTGTCTCTGCTGACCTAGGGAGGCACAGGCAGGGACTCAGGGATGCAGAAAGGTGTCAGGAGGAGGCCCACAGCATCCACAGAGGACTTCAGGGCTGCTGAGGCTTTCCCTCCTGGGAGAGCTCAGACCTTGGACACCAGCATTGCCCTACGGTGTGTCCCCGCTCTAAGGGGCAGGGGCTGTGGTGGCCACTGTGGTTCGTGCCTCTGAACTGGGGCCCTGAAGCAGAGCAGGGCTCTGGAAGGCAGTCCTCAGACACCCAGGCCACTGGGTTTCCTCATATCTCTTTGTGAAGAATCCACAGCCCTTAAACCAACCCACCCCAACTAGTGAAGCCCCAAAGAGTCAGTTCTTCCAGCCACCGGCAGGGGGCAAGGTTCTGCCTTCTTTGCTCCCACTGAGGCTTCATTTCTAAACCCAGCAATCACTTCCCTTACCTCAGTTCTGCAGTCTAAGGGGAAGCAAGAGGAGTTGCTGGCTCCCCTGAGCAAGGGCTTCCTGGGACCAACTAATACCAGGCCCTTGGTCCTTGTGTGATTTGTTGCCCACAAGAGCATAATTAACTCAATTAGCATTGAGATGCAGAGAGCTTAAGAAAGTCTTCCAAGTTGCAAGCAGAAACGTAGGTGCAGTAGAAACTGGATCTGGATCCTATCCTAAAATCCGATGGAGGTCCCTAGAGCTTGCAGAGGCCACAGCTCAGGCTACCAGCCTTCCACAGCCCCGGGGTCCTCCAGGGCCCCAGAAAGGGCAGGAGGTTTGAGGGAGCAGCAGCGCCAGAGCAGAGGGGGGCCTGCTCACCAGCTTCATGCTCAGACAGTTTTTCTCCCGGCTGTTGTAGCTGTCGATCTTCTGCTTGATCTCCTGCAGTAGGGGCGGCTGCTGTGTCTCCTCCACAGGCTTGCAGACATTCTGGAGTGGACACAGAGGAGGGTAGTGTGCGGGGGTTCTCAGGATGGGGTGGGAACGCTCTCACAGAGGCCTCTCTGGCTGAGAAGAAATGAGCACCAGCCTCCATGGTGACAGGAATTGCATAGACCCTGGGCGAGACCAGTAAGGTGCCAGCCATCCCTGGGGAAGCAACTCAGATCTGTCTAAGCCTCAGTGTCCTGTGAAATGGGAGTAATACCTATGCCTCGTGCTTGTTGCAAGACCAGTGTGAAACATGCACCCCACCCCCACCTTGGCACCATCGCTGAGAAGGCTGCTATGGAGAAGACGCTTGTAGATGGATACAAAACAACCCAAGTAGGCTATGCTCTGTCTCCCCGAGGAGGCAACGATAAAGCTGGAGAGATAGGAGTGTACATGGGGTGTCAGCAAAAGCTGATGGGGATGACAAAACCCCAGTCTGGGCCCACATCAATGAGACCATGCCTCCCATCTTCATCAAATGAATGAGAGACCTGGCCGGGAGGGGACTGTAGCCATGGTTATAACCAAGGAAATAAAGCTTTATGGGGCGCAGGGATAGCCAGCACTACCCTGCATCTCCTCTCCAAGCACTTGGTGTAGCTGACCTCATTTAGCTCTCACAAAGCCCAACTCCACGGGATGGCTTGTTACTCCCATTTTACAGGGCATTTACTGACGTGCCCAAGGTCCTGAAGTCGGTGGTACAGAACTAAGTGGAGCTCGGACGCCTGTCCTGTACACCACATGATCTATTCCTATCCCCAAATGGGCAAAGGAACAATGGGGCTGGGGTGGAGATCAGTATTCCTCACTCGCAAGGGAGTTCAGGAGAGGGGCCTGGGGACTTGGGTCTGAGCAACTCTGTCCCCAGTCAGTTCTCTGGATTCTTTCAAGTTCACTGCCACCAGCCTCCTGGCTCTGTCTTCCCACCAGCCTGTGTGGCTGGAGGAACAGCAGCTGCTTGCCCACCACCCACCTTTAGCTGCCTTATCTTAGAAATCCAAGTAGACTGGGGTGGGGCAGGGAGGAGCCTGCCTGTTGCTGTCTGGGTTTGGCTGGAGATTTACGAGATCCTGACATCACACCCCCAACCAGTGGGACACAGTGGACACCAGCCACAGAGCCAGCCCAGCCTCCTCCATCAGCCAAGCCCGGGGTGATATCACTCCCACAGTTTGCTGTCATTGCCTTCTGTGATTTTCCAACTCACAGAGCAGATAAAGATGAAACCCCAGCTCTGGCTGCCCAGCCCTGAGCAGGGAGGTGAGCAACATCCTCTTTTCGTACAGCATCCCTCCCCACCCATGTACTCCCTCTGGGCTTTCTCCTGGCTTCTGGTGGTCACAGCACTGTGCTAGACAGTGGTACAAGCCTTCTCTTATGTGCTATCAACATTTTTTAGATTATAGAACTGAGGCCCTATCAGCTGGTTATGCACACTTGTAATCCCAGGTACTCTGGAGGTGGAGGCAGGAGGGTCACAAGTTAAAGGCCCAGCTGGGGAGATAGCTCAGTGGGCTAAGTGTCACCCTGACAAGCACAGGGACTGGCATTTGTGCCTGGCACCACATGCTACACCAGCCCTACCCCTGGGTATGCTAAGCCAGCCACTGAAACCAGGTATGGTAGCACATGCCTGTAATCCCAGTATTGGGGAGGGTGAGACAGGAGGATCACTACAAGTCCGAGGTGCAGAGTAAGACCCTGTACCAAATACATAAATTAAAAAAAAAAAAGTTAAAGGCCATCCTGGGCAACCTAGCGATATCATGTCTCAAAGTAAAAATGAAATAATAAAAAGGGCTGAGGGTAAGAGCTGAGTGCAAAGGCCCTGGGCTCAATTCCTAGTACCTTACACAAAGCACAAACCCAAGGCTCAGGCAGGTTAAGAATTGTGCTTGTGTCCTACTGTTAGTGAGTGACCGAGTAGGGACTGGAACCAAGTCCATCTAGGCCCAGAACCCTGGTTCTTCTCTCTGTGCTGTGTGGCCAGCCTAGGGCAGCCTCTTCTGGTTGGCCAGCACACAGCTCTCCTCATGGTCACTGAAACTGTGGCAGGGCTGGAAGGAGCCCGCTCTGACCCATACTCCATGCATGTCCAAGGGTCTAGATGCACTGCTCCAACTCTGGAGAGCCTCCCTAGGTACAGGGCCCACTCAGGCCTCTGGGTGTGGACGTTGTGTCCTGCTGAGGACTAGCCAAGGGGAGGCAGTCACTGGGAAGTCTCCTGTTTGCTCCAGGTGAATAATAAGAAGCCTGCACCTCACATGCTGTCCACATTCACTGTCCATTCATTCACACAGGGATCCCCAAAATAGAGTCTCTTGTTTGCCTTGGATCCTGGAGCGCCCCACCAGCTGGGCACATCTGTACAGTGCAGACCTGTCTGCCTATGGCCCTGTCCTGGGTCCCCCTGGGGGCCTCCAGCTACTGGCAGGTTAACACGGTACACTCTATACTGCCTGTCTCTGAGGCACACAGGCTGTTGGTCCTCAGAAACTGAAAGCTTTCTCATCCTTATCACAAAAAGACAATATTAAAGCAAGCCAGGCATGATGATGGGTACTGGTAATCCTGGCACTCTGGGAGGCGGAGGCAGGACGATATCTTTGGAGACTTAGTGACATAGTGAGACACTGTTTTAAAATTTAAAAAGGGCTGGAATGTAGCTCAATATGAAGGCCCCAGTTTCAATGTGCAGTACTAAAAAAGAAAAATAATAATAATAAGGTGATCAAAGACTCTAGAAGCCCCTGGAAGATCTCTCAGTTCCTGTAAGAAAAGGCAACTGTGTCTTAGCTTTCAAAGGTCAGTCTCCCAGGCCTGCTTTGAATAGAGCAAGTGTCAGAGCCCCAGTTTTCTCCTTCCTGTTCCCTTTTCTTCATCAGATAAGCTTATCTGGTCTCCCCCCCCCCTTCCCACCACAAAACTGAGAAGTGATGCAAGTGGCATCTGCCTTGAAGGGCAGAGGCAAGAGACTGCAGGCTAACCTCCCCTCTCGAGGTCTGATCCTGGGATCAGGAAGGGCGGGCTGCACTGCTCAGAGTGCCAGGTGTCCATGTGTAGCCAGTACTGCAAACCTCACACCCATGGAATGTCAGTGCCCGCCAGGGCTGGCTGCGGCCCACGCTGCACTGGCCAGACACGATCTGACACTTGGAACAAATGAATCACTTTCCCGAGTGGGCCAGCCAAGGAGCCTGAGGGCCAGCCAATGCCTCACCAGGTCTCTTCCCATCTAAGAGGTGGTACGGCATCCGGACTGCTGGTTTCCAGACTTGCCTGCACAGTGGAGTCATCTGAGATCTCTGGAAGCTTGGCTGCCTGGGCTTTTGCCACCAGAGATCTGTGATTTTAATTGGTCTGGGATTCGGCCTGGGTACAGGGAATTATAAACCTCCTGGGCAGTTCCGCTATGCTCCAGCATTTGAGAAGTGTGATAGAGACCTGCTCCCCAGTGGTTGTATCCAGCTGCAGAATTAGCACTTCCGTGCCAACAGATATACACTGCCCTGGAGCTTTACCTAAAAGGCAATTGTCCTCTGTACAAGAGATCAGTGTCACAGTGATCTCTCCAGGGCAAAGCAAAGACCCTGATTTCTATTCGCTTTCTAGGTTCTCAAGTCCTCAAAGTGAAAGATCTGTCTCTCTGTTCCTGGGCACTAAGCTGGATACTACACACATAGCATTTCCTCTCTTGGAGTGGCCCAAGATAGACAAAACAGGGAACTCTGTTATTACTTAAGCAGGCTTGGCCCTGGCCCGTGCGGTGTCTCTCTTAGGGGCTTGCACATCTCAGTGCATCTGGCCCAGAATTCATCTGCTCTGATTAAGCTCTTAGCATTGGTGGCAGATGGCTGAGCTTTCCCAGCACACCCGGCACATCCGGGTCACTGGTGAAAAAATTGGCTTGTCATGTGTTCCAAGCCATGGAAAGGACTTGTGACCTCTCATAGTTCTTGAGGTTCCTGGGGGTACAGTCCAAATGAAGAGGTACTAAGGTAAAAGCAGAGGTCACACATGCATATGTGCACACACACACACACACACAATGTGCACACACACACAATGAGGAACATCCCTTGCCGCTGAGGCTAACTCAGAGTAGTTCTACCATAAGACAAGTTTTTCTTTAACACAACAAGGCCAATTCTGCTTTCTAATCAATGCACAGCCCTAACCTTGGTCCGTAGCAGTGACCAGTGCTCTGGGAGCACAGCAAGTCCTGTGGCCCTGGACTTGCCAGGCAGGAGCAGGAGGTCCTGCAAGCAGTCAGCACAGGGCAGTGTGGACAGGGACCATGTTCTACCACGCACACTTTCTCCTGGCCTCTCAATCACACACACCTCAATTTTGCCATACATTTTATTCTCCTCCTTTAAAACATGTCAGTTTCTTTTTCCTGCCCACTGCTTCCTCCTATCCCGCCTGACTGTCCATCTGTCCATCCTGTCACTCTTTCCCTGCCCATCTGAGATAAGGCGGCCCTGACCACTCCAGCCCTGAAAGACGACAATGACAGTGACAACGATGGTGGCATTCATCTCACCTAACAGGTATTAGCTCGCTTCACCCTCACAGCAAACATAGGACAATTACTACCACTGCAGTCCATTTTACAGTCAAAAAAAATGGAGCCATCGTCAGATTAAGGCTAACCTTCACCTGGAGCTGAGCTTGTATTTCAATACACATCTACTCACACTAGCTTCCTGGTGGACCAGCCCTGGGGATTTTCCTTCCCAACTGGACAGAAGCTTCCAATGACCTGCACTGTACTTTCTCTGTTCCTCACCCCCAGTAGCTCTGAGCATGGAGCAGATGATAAACACTCTGAACCCTCAGTGATCCTCCCTGTTGCCTATGGTGGAGAGAGAGTGGCAGTGAGCCTTGGACTTCAATCCAGTCTGAGTTCTGTGAGAGAAGCTGGCACGTCTGTCTTACCTACCACAGCATCCTGGAGTCCAGGTGTGGCTTAGCACATAGCAGGTCTCAGA